TGCCTGATATCACAGCCTGATATCTGCAGACAGCTAGCTAATGTTAGCTCCTGTACCCGGCAGGTAAGGACAAACTGAGCAGAGCAGAATCTCAACGCCGATTCCAAACAGTGTGCAGAAACATTTTTTAGTCTGTCTCACTGTTAAGTTCACATAGCCAGAGGTGGCTAACCCCCTGGAGTTCACAGTCACCTGTAGTCACAATGGTGCATTAAATTCCAGCATGCAATAGTTTACAAGACTGTTGAGTCTCAACAGCTAATGAGGCCAGCTATACCCAAGTTAATTTTTGACTAAAAGTAACCTGTTTGTGCAAATTTTAATACCTTAATTTTTATGATGTAGACACACACTATAAAGGTTTTTATCACCCAGCCCTATACCACACACTCTTCTTCCTTGTCAAAGACTGTTGCCTATGTTACACACATTAGTATGTGTTATGCTAGTAGCATCTAATGTAGCACAGTCCCTCAGACTGGAGGACCTTTCACCCCACCATACCCCCCCATCTTTCCCTCCTCAAGAGTAAACATCATCTATGGAGTCTAGTCTCGCTTTTTCCACTCTGACCCTCAAATGAAAGAGCTCATTCTCTTTTCCCTCACTCACTCTCACACTCTCCATCACACACATCAGCTTGCCAGTCGTCCCTCTGACTCACACTTGGATAAATGGATGTAACTCTTTCCATTTTTCTACCTTTTTTTTCAGTGTGTGTGGAACAAGCACTTGCCCTGGCTAGCAGCCCTGGCTATACCTGAACAGAATCCTCTTGGCATTATGTGAGAGTGAGAGCACATCTCACAAACAGATCGACTGGATTCATTTTGGACCCTGAAGGCGTCATTCAGTTGTGGGGAGGGGATGTCACTGCTGTACACACATGACTCACATGTCTCATATGTCTCACGTCTCACACATGCACACACTTTGGCCACACATACTGAGAGCAGGCAGCCTTGTCTAGTTTTTACTGCAGAGTGTGAAGCAGTCCTGATTGACAGCAGAGAGATGACAGAGATTGGCAGGTGAAGACACTGGGCTCTTTGGGGTACGATAAAATACCTGTGGGATAGATTAACTTCTGAATCGCCATCCTGTGAATGGACTGATGCCAAAATAAGACTACTGAATAGTTTATAGTTAACTTTACAATGAATGGTATGAAGTTAAATACAAAACAATTAACAAAACAATCAGTGTTTTGTCTATGTAAAAAGACTTTGTCAGCTCAGTCAAGTGCAGAACGAGTCAGTACAAATCAGTGTCGTGGGGTTCTGTTGGGCCATTACACTATTAAAGGGGTATTCAACCAATTATACACATATAGGTAAGTTTACTCACCATAAAAAACTGTTTTATAGAATCTTCTGTGGCTCTGAGGGAAACGTTCCCACTCTCGCAAAAATAACCATGATGATGTCACTATGACATCATCATGGTTATCTCATCTTGGACTCTGACTTATAACAGAAAACCTGCATTAGAAACTGTGAGTGTGGGGTTTTAAAGATGTGGGCATTTACCAGGAAAAAGAGGGTCAAGAAAAACCCACTATGGAGTTGCATTATGGGAAATGTAGGATCAAATGTTGTTGGAGCTTGACCCATACCCACTGTAAGTGCAATGCTACACTGGGGAACCCCTTTAAAGTAATAAAACCCCTTATCATTATATCCCTTCATACCAGCCATAGACAATTTGCATGAAGTCTTATTATTATTACAATATTATTATAGTACTCAGTAATGTAAATTATTTGGCTTTTTCTTAAATCACTCACACCATTTAACATATGTGCATATTATGTTTTATCTGGTGGCCTCTTAAATTCCCCTCAGTGTTCATAGCACTACTTCCTCCGAACAGTCCCACAATGACAGTTGTCACATCTAACTGATACAAAAATGACAGTCATGGGACATTACACTTGCCACAGATGACTCAAAATGATAGTAATCAGCATTGGTGTCCAAAATCTCCAATGAGAGCTCACTGCAGAGTAAACCACTGTAGTGAATGAGTGACACAGCCGTAGCCTTTCTCAGCCACGACAGTGTAACAGTGAGCAAGCAGTAACAACAACAGCACCCTGAAACCGAAGCAGCTACATGGAACTCCGGCAACATTACTTTTATCATTTACACCCGTAACTCCCCTACTGTGACGTCAAAATGTCTCTGGTGAAAAAGGTCAAGCGAGGTCTGTTATAGTACTTTTATATCTGTTTATGCTGTTGTCCCTCGTGCAAAAGAGGTTTCTGACCTCAATGTGACTTCTATAAAATGTAAAGCATTCTCTGAAGGTTTAATTTGAAAAATTATTAACAGATAAAATAAGCACATGGGAATGCCTATTTGAGGTTAATCCAGTCAATAATCCAGTAATTAACAGACAAATCAAGGCACAACATCACAGTGATGCACTGATTTTACACAATACAAGTAATTGACCAACAACAACTGCAGATATTAAAGAAATAGACACGGTCTAGCAAGAATTCAGCTGACAAATCTTTTCAAACCACACTTTTCAAACCACACTACATTTTAGGGCTGCAATTTATCATTATTTTCATTATAGATTAATCTGCAGATTGTTTCCTCAACATATCGATTAATTATTTGGTCTATAAAACATTAGGAAACAGGGGAAAATGGTGACATGTTTGTTTTGTTTAGTCCAAAACCTAAAATATTTACATATCTGAGAACATGGAACCATCAAATGTTTTGCATTTATTCATACAAAATGACTCGAACAAGTCATTGATTATCAATATAGTTGCCGAACCATTTCCAATCAAGTCAAGGCGTCTCCAATGTATCCAAGTAATCTAAACTTTATTTCGTCCATGCAAACAAACACAGGAACACACATTTTGTTCAGTGCTGAGATTACCTGTCGTTTCACAGGTATAGTTGTGTCACATGCCCACTTCAGCTTAACCAACTTTCTATGCATTCACGCAGAGAGTTTTGTAACTTCACCCCATCTCAACCACTGAGCTCATTCAGGAGGAATCAGTAGATTTCCCTATGAAGATGAGCAGCCCAGCCCGCTCTGTCTCTCATTATCTGCTGCCTGTGCGTCAACCTAACTGCAGCCAGAGAAGAATACCTGTGCTCCCTTTGAAGTCCGAGCCTGACTACAGTAAATTATTATCTTGCCTTTAACACAGCTCCAGACCCTAAGGACACCCCTTGGCTGATCCACCGTGGGTGCCATTACCTGTCCCTCCAGTTGTTGGGTATCTCTCAAAGAGATAAACAATAAGTGTTACACCTCACTGAAGCACTATCTGAGTTAATCTTGCTCCCCTCTGAGAGACAGTGGATGTGGGTGAGTTTATGTAGGCCTATAACAATAGAGAGAGTGAGAGAAAGGGAGGGAGAGAGCGGCACAGCAACTCAGATTAAATAGCCAACATTCCTTTAAAAGGAAGAGAAGGTAGCCTTTGGGCTCCAGACAAGCCTGCACTTGTAAAACATGGTGAGAGAGAGATGACAAGTGCAGTGCTCCTCTGGTCTAACAGAGCGTAACAGGAAGTGGCAGGGCCTGCTTCACATGGGGCCTCTGGGGTGCAGCGACTGGCTGCGAACACGTCACAGTCTCCAAAAACCGCCAGCTGCAACACCCTTAACACACACACATACACAGCACGTATAATAATTAGCAAAACTAGCTGTTATTAGCACTCACTGGAAATGTGAGTTTGCTTAGACAGAGCTCAATCTTGCAGACCAAAACCTGTGAGGAGCAAAAGTCATATATAGGCACAAATAAGATAAACTAGCCTGGAAACCTGCCAAAAAAAACCTGTTGTTCTTCAGGGAGTGATTAATGAAAACATGACGACTTACTGGCAAGCACAACCCACACTGTTCCAGCCTCCTATCTTTAGTTAATGACTGCATTCAGATAATGAAGCTGAACTAGATGTACAGTAATTGCAGTTTCCTGTGAGCACAGGAAACTCTTGCCTATTCTGCACAGGCCATGTCCTCTGTTTCACAAGGCAAAATCAACATGGGTAATCAATTATATGCAGACACTAATTATTGAACACTGTCTGAATGGACACCCCCAACTCTATATGCTCTATATGGGCTGATATGATGAGTGAGTGGTATAGAGAGAGGGGAGGGGAGAGAGAAAACTGGGAGGGACTGATGTCATACAGAGCAGCAAGATTGTAGCCTACTTTCATGTTGTGCAAAAACAATGTTGACAAATGAATAAGAGGAAAACAAAGGGCTCGTTCACCTAAGTCTGTAATCACACTGCCAAGTGCCCTTCTTTCAAATGGACACAGCTGGAAACAACAAAACGGACATTTAAGAGGAACAAAATACAAGCAGCTTTAGACTCTAGGCTGGATTTTCCTTATGAGAAACAACCACTGCACATTTGTGATAGATTTCAGTAAGATTCTCTTGCAAAGAAGACACCAATACAAACTATTTCACAAGGTCGCCAACTACAAACTCTCCACTGAGTACCAATGACACAGCATAACTCCATTTGGGAATATTAAAGTTATTTGTAGTTTGGGATAAGACCTTAACCAGTCAAGCCGTAAAATGTTAGATGGCTTTGCCAGAAATTAGCTACACACGGTCCAACTCTGCTACCTGAAGTTGTTATACCCACATAACAGCTACTTTAATGCTTCTGACTAATACTTCAAGTTTCCCAAAAGAGCTAGAATATTTCCCGGTGCTACAATAATTTGACAAAATGTTCAATAAACCCGTTATTATTTTTTATATAAATATGAGTTAGATGAGATGTGGTGAAGCCAGCCGAACACAGCATTCCTCTATGTGGACGCTACCGTCTGCTGCTCGGGCTGTAGAGGTGTGGAGGGGGGGGGGTAAGCCGTTTCTCTTGGTTAAACAAATACCCATGGCGACTTTTAACATATCAAACAACGCCATAAAAGTTCAGTTTCTTTATAAAGTTTGTCTGCAAAGAATTAAAAATGATGTACTCACCCTTAAATTGAGAGAAAACGAAAAGCAGCGCGTCTAATAGGTTTCCTGTTCGAAAGTTGCCGTGTGTCAGTGGGAAAAAAACATTGTACGCGGAAGTACACATAAAAAAAGCAGAGGGTGATCAGCAGACGGTGATTAAAAAGCAACGATTTGGCGTTTCAAAATTATCGAGTGCAATGTGTCCGATAGCATATAAACACGGGTAATAAATTCACTTATTACCTTTGTGTGTTTTATGGCTTCACTGTCAATTAAAAAAAAGTAAACCGTCTAAAACGGGTTGTTTCCGCACTGTGTTACACAGTAACCCGTCCCCATTGAGTCCACACTGTGCTACTGAGCAGTAAGTATTTTATAATTAGGCCAATGATATTTATGCCTGTGTGTGATTTATATGTGGTTAAAGCCACATATTTGCAGTTAAGGGATATTTAGCCAAGATATTCCAACGCGCAGTGTACGTTATTTCAACTTTGCAGTACACTACTGCTCTCACTTTCAACATTTTAGGCTATTATCTAATAATAATTATTAGCAAATTTCCTACATGAACTTAGAGGAACTTTGTTGCTTAAACCTGATTTCTGACTCATCATCAGTATTAGTGTCCAAACCATAGCAGTGACCAGAAAATTAATTTTCTTCCTAAATTAGTCGATTATTTGTTCCTAAACAACCAAGCTCTGCTGTATGAAGCATACATTATTTCACCTTTTATGTTCTTTTTCCCAGCTGATCTGTTAGTTTCCATAGAGCCACAAATACATTTCACACACTATTGCGAAGCCAGTCTGTAGAGATTCCAGCTGTTAGGCAACATAAAGGAACATCTGTCTGTCGTGAAATCAAGGCATCTGTTGGCAGAGTGGATTGCTCAAACCAAACTTTACTCCCCTACCTGATCACTTCACTTCAACTATGGCTTTCATACGCCACCCTGTGGAGAAACATAGACATGACCTGGGCCCTTCCCATCTGAACATTCACTGACTGTCCTGATCTAACTTGACCTGTACTCTCAAACTAATATGACCCTGCAAAAAAAGCATACAAATTGTCTATTTAGTAAAAACTTTTAGATGGCTGTCATGACTGGAGACTTAGCCCAGTTATAATTTTGTTATAACAGAATAAAGTCTTAGGTTCAAATTTCATTCTTGACCTAGGAAAAAAACAACCTCAACCCTTGGTCTATTTAATAGCTGTTCTTGAGCTTTCAGTCAAACCAGCTGTCACTGAATTGTTGCTTTTCAAATATACCTTTTATTCTGAGAACTTTAAGGAGTTCTTGTCCATGTTGGCTTAAAATAAGGTCTATTTAGGCCTTACATTTTTTGGATTTTACAAAAAAGGCTTGATTGACACACTGCCCACTCTACTCTGTTATCTCCTTATTTAAATCCAGGTGTGTAGTAGGAAAGGACTCAAACCTGAGATCATTTCAAAATTGGTGTAGAACAGCAAAGAAAAATGTATGTACAATGTACAAACTACTACTTCTATTCTCTGAAGTGGAATTATGGCAGATATGATAAATCATAATAAAACATGAATCCAAGTAGAAGTCAGAATTTAAGTATTAAAAGATGTGTATGAGTGTATGGGTCTGTGTGAATGGTCATAGCACTGTGATGCTGACACAGTGTACAGAGGCTCTGGTCTGGCTAACAACAAACTGCAGTATGATGTGGACCCTCACACAGCATCCTACTTTACCTTTTAGATTCAACCTAACTGTTTCCACCTTCAGGTTTGCTCCTTCAGGTTTGGATCACGAACTAAATCTAATTGTCACGTATTCTGAGTGGCTGCTAGGTGCTTGAGAAGTGATGCTGATGTGTGAGTTAAGGACATATGGTTGTTTTATTTACCTGTGAGAATGCACAAATTCCCAGAAGATACCCTCTTTGTTCAAACTGTGCAACAGTATTTTTCTGACCTCACACACCATGTTGTCATTGGCACTTACTGGCACTTACATATGACTTCCACATGCACATATGTTTTGCTGTACCGGGAGGTTTTGTGTGGGTGTCTCTGTGTGTAGTGCGCAACCCTTTGAGGACAATAAAGTCTCATCTGTTTTTCTGTCGAGGTTGTTTCACAGATTTAAATTCCTGTTCAAGTCATTTTCAGACAGGTGAATATAGTTCTGTGTCTACAGTTATCAACACATTCGATGAACAAACTGTTCATTTTTGCCCTTAATTCGAAATATTATAACACGACACATAACAGTCCATCAAACTTTGTATAAATCAGTGTTTAAATACATGTATCTATGAGGTTATGACACCTCGCACCTGTCCTCAAAGTTTACATTCTCCCTGATGTCCATCAATGCTTGTAGTTATTTTTAATTTAATCAGTAAATTATTGTTATTCTTATTATTGTCCTAACCTCTCTGTAGCTTGTCAAATGGTGAGAACAGGAATGAACCTTAAAACTGGAGAACAAGTTAAACACACAAAATGAACAAAGAGCGATGACGTCTTTTCATTGTTAATAACATAATTTTTTCAATTTAATTGTATTCACATATAAAGTGAATTTGATTTACTGTTTATCTGGCATTGTGTTTGTGACTAATTACTTAGTGCTATGTTTTTTAAGTTGTCAACATACATGACACTATTATCCTAAGAATTTATCTATTAATTTTATCCTCAACTGTCTCAATGAATCTAATTAATATTTTGTTTATCTGATTAAGAAATCCAGATTAATTTGCTATGATCAAATTATATTTTTCAATTTTAATTTGTCATTTGCTCACAATGTAACTCTAATGCTAATTATTTCTGGTATCACATATTTGCAGGTTTGCAAAAGAAACTTTAATTTTTGTTATCAGATATTAGCAGTCACATCTGGTTTATTTATATTATATATTTACTAACTACAGGAGATATAAAGTGACCAGATGGAAAAATGTAGTTTCATTCAAAATATACTTTGTTGTCCCAAAAATATTAGCAAGGTTTGTTCACTGCTATAAATTGCTTAAGTAGCTTCAAAGATTATGACAGAAATTTGAAGAGCCACCTCACCCTTCATTGTTCGCTGTGAACAAAATGAATAACAAGATCACAGTCAACAACAGTCCACTATCCAGAATAATGTTTATTGCTTTTGAAGATATTAATCTTTTTCTTCTTTTTTGCACTTTCAATTTTTCTTCTTTACAGTAAAACAAAGAGAGATGACAGGTAAAACCACTGCATTGTCAATTTTGGATGTGTACACACACATACACACACAGAGGAAACAGTATTTACAGCTGTTAGTCAGTGAAGTCCACATGGAGGTGACTGGAGGCCTTTCCTGTAGCAACTCAACAAACATAGAGCTTTACATTAACTTTACAATAGAGCTTTCACAACTAATCGTATACCGCCACTGTTTGACAAACCATAGGCTATAAAGGCTATGAAGCTGTACAATATGGTTTATTGTTCACTCTGTGCTGAGAAACTGGGCCGGAGAAAGGAAGTTGGTCAAAAACAGATAAACAGTTTTTGAATATTTTTTTCCACTGTTAAATGTCCTCAAGCAAACTGAATTGCTTTGCTGCTGGCATGGACAAAAAGCATTGATTGAAAAATAATCAAAACAGATTTTCGGGGGAGGATTTAAAAAAGAAAATGCGAAGACCAATATTATTCACATTTGACTAATTACAGTACAGTTACACTGGGTGAATGCTAACTATAAAAATAAGTCTACCGGCATATATTTGAACCCAAAGGGTTTGTACGTTGGGCATCTGGCAAAAATGACCAAAGGGCACAATTAACTGGGGTTGAGAAAATCAGAGACAATTCCCAGTGTGACCTCTGTCCTCATCATAGAAAAACATCTTCAGAGTGCAGATCTTCTGCCATTAATAATTTAAACTTTGATACACCTAAGCTTATAATTTTTCCAACATGTTTAAATACTGAATTAAATCACAACAATACAGCTAAATCTTATCATAGTGAATAATAATTAAATGTAATGTACACCATATTAAAATATATACACAGAAATATTCATACAAATTTTTAGATTGGCCCAGCTCTCTCTGCTCTCTTTTTCTTTCCGTTCAGAAAATGTGCAGGAAATACTTGAACCACGGGACAAAATAAATATTCACTGACTACCACAGTTAGCACTATTAGAAATATGGATTTTTAACATTTAAATCAACCTGCTAGAAACTATATCATATAAAAGTAAGTGCAAAATAAACTTAAGGGCAACAATTTCAAGCACAGGTTTACGATCAGAGATGATCTCTCAGAGGGAGATGTTGCCTGAAAGGACCACTAGGTGGCAGTATTTGACTATATCTCAAAAGTCATAGTGATTATACTGTATATATAGACCAGATCTCAATAATTACAGTACAGATCTGTAAAATTGGATTGATCTGAGCAATATTTGTTGTTCTGTTCTGTTAGTATAGGGATGTTGTTTGTTAATGTTTGCCAAGGCAGGCATTGCTGTGTTGTAATTTACTACCTCGCTGCCTTCTATCATAGCTCGGCTGCGGACAGCAAATTGTAGAGTGCTGCTGGCAACGTGTAAACAAGTCTGCAAACCACGGCGTGATCATTTAGTGTGAGAGATCAAAACAGAAAGGACAAGATGGTGACACAGACAGCCGATACACTTAAAACTGTACGCCCCATATGTTCCGAGATGGGGAAGTCGGTAGTGTAATGGACTGTAGGCAAGTAAAAACTTACGCAGGGAAACAGTAATTTTAGAAGTAAAGAGCATAACTGCCTTTCCTGGGAAAAGTATCTATCAAGACTGATGGGAGAGTTGATAATCTAAAGCAGAAAAGAGTTGCAGAGAAATGAAAGGAGAGAAGAAGAGAGTTATCAGAGCATAGACTGGCAAGATGGTGGACGCAGGAGAAAATGTATTAGCTGTGTATCATTTTGAGAGTCTCTGTCTCCCTGTGTCTTTCATGCAGAGCCATGGAAGGGGAGAGCGACGGAGCCAGGGAGGGCGGAGGAGGAGTGATGGGAATCAGGCTCTTCAGAGGATGTGGAGACACTGTTGGAGGGAGCGAGGAGATGGGTGGCAGCACGCTCCCTTTCTTTCCATCCAACACAATCTGTGATCGGTTTGCCAGGCTGGATTCCTTCCCGATGCCAAATTCATGCTCGTTTTCATTCTCCGAGCTGCAGTCGCTCAGATCTGTGATCTCCAGGTCTGAGTCCGACTCCGGGTCCTGCTTCACCCCCCCCCTCCTCTCTGTGGGGCTCTGTTGGTCTGTCCCAGTCCCGGATCCCAGCCCGACCGCTCCAAGCCCCAGGCTCAGCCCCGTGCCAGGAGGATTGGTCTCCACCCTTTCCCTTTCCCCAAGTGTCGCCCCGTTGCCAATGTCCGTCCGAGCCATCGACAGGCTCCCTGGGTAGGGTGGCAGGCAGAGTCTGGCTGGCTGACCACCCGCTGTGCCGTTCGTCCCTCCAGTTTGCCCCGATGCTCCCCTCTCACCCCCACCTGCTTCCCCTGGGGGGAGCAGGGAGGAGAAGGGGTGAGGCAGCTGGGAAAGGCTGCTCTGCAAAGGGTTGGGGTAAAACTGGGAGGGGTAGAGGGAGCCAGGGGGCAGTTTGGGGCAGTTATTGAGAGAGAAGGCCCCTGGGAGGTAGGGGTTGAAGCCCCAGGGGTAGTCAAAGGGTGGGTTGCGAGGGTACGGGCCCAGCAGGGACGGGGGTTTGGAGTAGCATGGGGCACCTAGGACAGAGAAAATCCAGAGACGGAGGTTAGAACTCAGAAGGGCCAAAGGTTTCTTGACATACAACATCCAAGAATGTTCACTAATTATGCTCAACGGTATTAGCAATTCTAATCAGAAGCCACAGGGGCCAATTCTGGCACGGTTGCTTTCAACAAAAATCTGATGGTTCATTTATGCATGCCAGTACTGTGTAGTACACCCACTTCACACTGCTGCAAACCAGATGTGATCACAAAGATTCTGCACTGCAGTCAAAACAAAAAAAAATAAAAAATCAAGCAACTAATCAAGCAGAGTTTACATCCTCCAAATGGTGTATTATTTCAGTATGTTAAATAGGAAATAGTTGGAGGCATGCTGCCACTGTTCTGACTGCACATCAACACAGTGGGGACAGTCACCTTGTTGAAAAATCTATTGGAGAAATAATGAAGAATGTATTAGCAGACGAGTCTGTGTACTTCCAGAGGTTAAATGACTGACAGGAAGAAAACTTGTAAACTGTCAAGCTCCTGTCACCCCCCCTCCCTACACGTTTTGACATGTCATCATATCATTTTAGATTAAGCAAAATCCTTAAGGTGTAGCAAATTAAATATTGCACCATATTTCAATTCAGTTCCTTGTAAGCATCACTTGATAACAGAAAAAGGGGGTAAATTTGAGGTGATGCTGGAATTCAATTTTAATGAACAAACAAAAGCATTGCCTCTCAACCCTACTGTACTTCCTTCCAACTGACAACCAACTCAAAGATTCTCTCTCTCTGCTGCGCCCTCCATCTCTCCCAGTCTTCCTATCTCTCTCTCACTCTGTTATTTACTATGCAGGGCTAATTTGACAGTGGTGAAGTCTCTGCGTGCTGGGCCAGGAGTAGCTGGCAGACACATGAATATTGAATCAGTCAGGCAGGCCTCACTTGCTTATGAAAACACAGTAATGGGCGCCCACAGGCCACAAACTGAAGCCTGCACCCTCAATTAGGGCCTTCCTGCCTGGGAAGGGATTAGGACAGCGGGGACACATGGGAGGGAGAGGAGGGTGAGAAGGGAAGAAGGGGGGAATAGGACCTGAGGACAAACAGAGTGGGGAGGGAGAGGGGTGGGGGTGGGTTTGCAGGTTGTGTGATGAGGAGTGCATGTGTGTGTGTGAGTACATCTGTTTACATGCTACCTCTCTCTAGCTCTGCACATTCGGCGTACACATTCTGATGCACGCATAGAGCGTGCAGAAAAACAAACAAAGGCAGATACATTAACACACATACATACTGTCAATCGCGCAAACGTGCACAAATCCACGCTGCGTTTGTAGAAACTCGTGCGTGCAGAGAAAAGAGGAGGACAATTGCGAACAATCACGCTGAAAGGGCGGGTGACTTCTCCAGCCTTCAACTTGTTTCTTACCACCGCTGATGTGCATAATTCACAAGCTAACATGGCCTCTCTCACCTGAAGCACAGTCTCACTGCAGGGTGCGTTGGGACAGCCATCTCTCTTATTTCCTTTAACAATAAATGCTCAAGCCTCCCTATATCCTCAATGCTCTCTCTGCTCTCCTGCTTCCTCTCTACCTTCTCCTCCTCCCTTTGTTTAAGAAGGTCTACTTTCTGTGTATACACTGCCTACACACCCTCTGTACAAGCTGTCTTTTCCCTCATGAAGATGGCTTTGTCTCTGGGATACTATAAGATTCCTGTTTTTGCTCAGGCAACTTTAAGTTTTTGACAAAGTTTTCTTCTTCTGTCGGCTCACCTGAACTGAGGAAAGGGAATGTGTCCAGTCTCAGCTTGTCTCCTTCAGGCCCCGGTGCCGTGGTCCCTCGATCAAACAGGGATGTTCCTCTGCCGGAGTCTGGCAAGCGGGGAAACAGGGACTGTATGGCCTGAGCAACAAAGAGAGAGATAAAAAAAAAAAAGAGAGAGGAAAAAGATTTAAAAAATGAGTTTGTGCCTTGACAATAACTTCCTAAATAAAGCACATGTATTCCCACAAATCCAACCTTATGGTGCTGCTGTGTAATGCGGAGCAAAGTCACATGTTGACAGCAGCACCCCGCAGAGTGTGATGCAAACAGTGACACAGTCGCAGCAAGGACAGGATAAAATGGGTGCCATGGGAGTCGTGGTAAAAAGGGAGGTAGGAGGACGCAGAGGCTCAGAGACTCAAAGGCAGGAAGAGTACAGAGTCAAATGGAGACCAGCGATTAAGATTGCGGGCACAAAGGATAAATGACAAGAAAAGAGAGAGGGATTGTGAAGGGACACAGGACGAATAGGACTGAGATCTGAGAGACTGACATCCATTCAGGATGTAGTGCAGCTGTGTGTGTGTGTGTGTGTGTGTGTGTGTGTGTGTGTGTGTGTGTGTCTGTCTGTGTGTGTGTGTGTGTGTGTCGATGTGTAAAATATGTGAAGGAGAAGGAGACAAGGTAAAAAATAAATGGAACACTTGAATCTCAGGAATCAAGGGGACAAAGGGGGATTTTTTTCCCCAAGCAGGACTGTGGATCAATAGTATCTGTCACCCCACAGCCCCAAGTTTGAAAGGCGAGACTGTACTCCCAAGCTGCGAGATCTGCGTTGCTTAACAAACCGCATTAATGACCCGCCATTGATCTGATCTAACGCGACCCCTTTGCTTTCTATTTCTTTCATTTTCAATCGATGACAGATGGATTCGCCATCGGAGACGGGGATAAGAGAAGGAGGGGATAATGTCTTCTTTTGTTTTAAGGACAAGTTAAAACCGTCTCCCTCCACTGTCGCCTTCAGAGTGTGTGTCTCCTTATCCCATCTTAAGGATGGCGGAGACAAATGATGGATGATTCTCTCTTACTGTACTTTCAAGTTATGTGCACTTTCTAGGACATTAGTTGCTTGAAATAAAATTAACTGCACGCTAGCACTTAAATCAAAGTTAGAAAATAGAGTCTTCTGAAACAATTTGTGTGGCTATGTTCATAATTTAGCATAGACACATTTAAATGGATTTGTTCATTGTTTTATTTTCTATAAATATCTGATCGCTTTAATAGACCTACAAGTAAAGTCATTATTTTTGAACTAAATCATCATTTTTTGTTCATGCCTCCTTCTTTCTGTGTTCGGATACAATTTATCTCTGTAAAAATTTTACAGTCTCACAGGGCAAATAATAAGTGAGTTGTATTCTATTATGATCACCAGTAGAGACAGTGAATAAAAGATAGATATGGTGAATACCACACATTCTCTTGTACAAAATCAAATGCACAGCAGGGGCCTGAGAAATACAACGGCAAAATAGCTGAGAGAAATGGATTTCAGTTACTTGAATTAAATCACTATTAATAAAAAAGAGTTGTGTGTCTTGCCATTTCTCCTTGTTCTTCTTTTTGTTGCAAGTTTCTCTTGCTCTTTCTTTATTCCCTGTGTATTTAAATACCATTTTTTATTATTACCTGCCATAGAGACAAAATATGGATATAATTTAGATTTCAATGAATGTGTCTCATTTCTCAAAAATGTGTCAGACTATAAATTTATGGTCATTTTCTACGTGACTGACACTGCATTATCTGCATTTTTTATCTTACAATATATATTAAAATAACTCCCTCCGCCCTCTCCCAGTCCCTCCATCGTACCCTTCGTACCTCTGGGGTGCAGTCTGGTGCGGTGGAGCCGCCATTGAAGTGATTCTGGGCCAGGAAGAAGGGAGAGTTGGCCATGTCCAGGATGGGGTAGTTCACCAGCACGACCTTACTGAAGTTAAACTTGTAGGTGAAACGTTTCCCTTTAGTTTTGTGCAAAATGCGCTTGTTGTAGTAATACCTGCAAAGGAGGAGGAGAGCATATCGAAGCAGGGATAGAGTGAGGGGATAAAAGATAAAGGAAAAAGGAAGAGGAAAAGGAAAAGAGGAGAGGAGGATTAATATAATGCTCACATCAAGGTTTTGTATTTCATCACCAACAGAAAAGAATAAGTAAACAACTTCAGCGCTGTGGGGTGAGAGCTATGCTGATTTCCCACTGTTTTTATTCAACTCCTCCTTCCTCAAATCAATTCATGTCTGACTGCCTTGATTCAACACAATATGCTCCTGTAGAGGGAAATTTTATTCAGCTGTTAACAGACACAAAGTCAAAAAGCCGAATCCCTTCAAGTGTCTGAAGCCCTTAACATGCAGTGAACTGGAGAACAAAAAACAACAGCAGCAAAACAACAAGACAAAATACTTCTTTCATCATGCACAAGACTATTTATAAATCTAAAAAAAATATGGGTATTATATTATTGTATAATATTTATTATAGCATCAAAGTGAATGAAATGGTGTCTTAAAATGAAAAAAAAGGTGTAGTTCTACTAAGTAAACAATCAGATTTTATTCATAAAACACAAATTTGTAACTGTTTAAGTGAAAATAATAAGAAAATGAGAGGTATGAAAAGAATTGTATAAATCCTATTTTCATCCTGGTATTTAATTTGACTCATCTCTGAAACTGTCATGTAAATGTGCATGCCGACGAAAAACGGCCACTGTTCCCCACAGCAAAGCACATTTACAAAGAGGGGGGACAACAAGAGGAGTCTCCATGGTAACAACCTCAGGTGTCACCCGCTGGGCATGTCGAGCTGTAGTCATACCGGTTTCCTGTGCCACCCACTAAGGTGTCACACTGTTCAGTCTGCCAGGATGCCAGGCTGATCGGCAGTAAGGGCAAAACAAGCAGCCATCTGGTTCAGGTAAAGGAGCTGAGTGCTCAGGCGGGGATGAAGGGGAAGCGCATGGGTGGGGTGGGGTGGGGGGGGGGGGCGGTGTGATGCTGCAATCTGAAAAACCTGCGGATGTTTTATCGTGATATAGTATATATCTCTAGTGCCATTTCTTTCAAAGTGACCACAGTAAGTGCACCAAACACAGAGTGCATTAGACAACCTCAGCACTAAATACTGGTGAGCAGCTCCTCATTATGCAGGCGCATTATATCAACAAACACAGCAGCATGTACGTATCAGCATGTATCCACAGTGGCTGCACTCAGTGCAATGATGTGTACGTGTTTTGCTATGCGTGGCAATTGTGCCGTGGCCCTTAATTGAGCAATTAAGTGAGGCTAATTAAGAAGGCTAATTGTGGCCCCAGCCAATTCATAACAATTAGACTCTGACGACAGCCCCCATTAAAAAGAGGCCAAAGGAAAGCGGGGGGGGGGGGGGGGGGGGTAGGAGAACAAGTTGGGGTAGTGTGCATTTGCATAAGAAAACTGCGTGTGTGGTTGGGGGTGTAAAATGCTGAAGGTATGGAGTGTGAACCGTATTGTTTTAATCGCCTTCAGAAAGTTCTGTGCCGAGCAGTTTCCCTGTTCTGAAGAAGTCCAGGCAATTTCAGACTTGGGCTTAATTTTGAAATCCCTATTGAATTTTTTATTTGGCAGCTCAATGGTGAACTTTCCATTAGGATGTCCACAGATAAGGAGAAATTGAGGGTATTGACGTTCCCTAGGAAAAGTCCCACCTTTATCTTTCCATTTTTACGAAAATGGAAAAGAGACTCTTCAGTGAGCATTCAGCCACAGAAGAGTAAACAATATATGTAAACCGTGGGGTGATAAGCGTCTTGATTTATCTGTTACAACAGTGTTATTGCTTGACATTCCACACATCATGTACACGAAGGTGCACAGACGCCAAACACACCAGAATAATGTTGTTTTCCTGTCATACCTCAGTGCCCTGCTCAGCTTGTCATAGTTCATATGAGGTTTGCATTTCCTTATCCCCCACAGCCGAGCCACCTCGTCTGGATCCTTGATGACAAACTCGCCGTAGTCTCCCTGCCATGCGATCACCCCCTGATACTCTTCCTTCTGCAGCAGCTCTAGGATGAAGTGCCACAGCTGGATCTGTCTGGAGCCGGGGCTCGACTCAGGCTTGTAGGCCCAGTCTGGGAAGGCGAACCCTGGGCAGAGGGAGCAGGAAAGAGAGGAGGATGTTAGGGCCTGTCATTTGTCCCGCTGCTTGCTAGGCATTGGGGGGGTAGGGTGTGTGTGTGTGTGTGTGTGTGTGTGTGTGTGTGTGTGTGTGTGTGTGTGTGTGTGTGCGCGTGTGTGTTTGTGTGTGTGTGTGTGTGTGTTTGGTGGTGGTGGTGGTGGTGGGGGGGTTGTTGCTGTCTGAATGACTGATGAGTGATGGAGGTGAGGGATGATGTGTTTAATATCACAGCGCGTGCCTTGAGCAATGTTAGTCTGCACTAATGCCCTCTAGCCTCAACAGATTGGTCAGTGGGATGATGACAGCTCTCTGGGAGAGATCTGATTGATGCTGCTCGGGTCTGAATTCTAAAAGCCGACTGTATGCACATCACTGATGGAGTTAAGTAGCTTTTTGACTCATCCAAAAGTGAATCTGGCACTAACTAGCCTTGTAAAACCATTAGACATACAACCAATTACCACCAGAGGCTCAATTTGTTTAGTAATGTGTGTGTGTGTGTGTGTGTGTGTGTGTGTGGTTAATCTTTTTAGATGAATTTTAACATGTGATTTTGATGATGATGGTGATGTTTGTGAAGTTTTATCAGAATTAAATTTGCTTGTTTTGGTTGTCTGGTTTCAACCAATTTGCACACGCGATCTGGGTCTAGATTAAAAAAAATGTTTAAAGATTCCTGCTCTTTCACTAGTATTTTACTTTTTTTTTTTTTTTTAAATAAATACTCTAATCAGACCTCAAGCAGACCTGACATAACAAAGAAAAGTTAAAATTACAGCTCCTGCTTTTGGTCATCTGAGCATGGCAGCGGGACTGACCTGGCGTCCAGAGTGCGGGCACCGGGGGGAGCAGCAGATCACTGACGCAGTTACAGTCCATGCCTCCACAACACCTGTAAGAAAACAATGAGACGGCATAGAGGGGAAGGAAAGTTAGTAAACAACGATTATTTGACTTGACGTGATTTGTCATTTGATTGAAAATGATTTGCTCAAGCCAGAGTCAGCTACCCAGCAGGTTTACTTTAGCTGAAGTTGAAGGTGAAGAGTAGAAACTTTGTTGAAAACTGAGGAATTGCATAAGGGTCGAAAGGCGCAATATGAGTTCAGAAACATACCTTAAATCGATGTGAAATATGGCAAGGTTGTGTTTTATATGATTTTGGTAGAGATCAGGTGTTTGATGGATGTAATCTTGTGTGGCTAACTGATATGCTGTGTCTGATGCAACAGGGTGGACATCCCTATAGTGCATTTATGAACAGGAGGAGTTAAGTAGACTTTTGAAAACCAAGTCAAAGTTGAGCCATACTATCCATTAAAAACTGGGTTGTTTTTAATATATAATATGGCTTGGCTATTCCAGAGTGGAGTTGGTAGTAGTGGTAAAAACTACACATGAAGTCAAAATCTCTTTGTGAAAAGTTATGTTCAAGTACATGACCACTAACGGGTTAGTTTAATGGTCTCCCTGTATAGTAAAGGCTTGGTTTGTTATGTGATTTAGGTCAGACGGAAAATGAAATTCATTGAAGTTTTTAATCATTATATAATGATTTAAGGGTTATATGCTCAGTAAAACATCTTTTCTCTGCTGACGTTTTCTGGTTGCATAATTATAAAAGATTATAAAAAGTTATGTACTTCACTGACAAACCGATGAAATAATATATTATATATATATATATATATATATATAAAATTTATATTGTCTTAGAAGGCCATGTTTGCTGACTAATTATGTACTGTAAAATGTGTAATTAGTTAAGTAAAAGTAACAATACAAGGAACATATCATCAAATAAATGAACTTCGGATTTAAAAAGTAAAATCACTCATTATGCCGACAAAATGGCACTTGTAGGTGTTATACGTTATATTTTTTGGTTATTACTAGTGATGCATAAATGTGTTTATTGTTGTAGTTGGACAAGGTGAGGCTTCATATGCTGTGGATAGTTTCTAATGATTAACAATGCATTATATTTTACAATCTTTGAATATAAAATCATGATCTGCAAAGTAACAACAGCGGTCAGATGGAGGTAGTGGAGTGAAAATATTTTCCTCTGAAATGTAGTAGACATGTGAAATAGCATAAAATAGAAATTCTCAAGTAAAGAACAAATATCTCAAAACTGTACAATTACAGTACTTGGGTAAATGTGCTTAGTTTTCTAGTAGTTTTTAAACAATATTTGAAAAAAATAAAAACAGAAATCTGCCTCAGGTTATATAAGAGAATCACTTGAAAGAAATCTAATATACTGATGCAATAAACATACATGAGGCAGCAGTGATTAACTTTTCTCTCTGACAATAAAAACAGACTCAAATCTGCAAGTGACTGAGATGTTTTGTTGTTTCTTTTATTTGCTAACAAGTGATCTGAACGCTCCAGCAACAATAGTGTGTGCATGTGTGATTGATGGAGGGGCTGGTTGCTTTATTAAATGGCAGCTGATAATGATAACGTCTGCTTGATAAATGCATATAGACGTCTGCTGACAGGAGAAGGTAAGGAGATTTCAGTGTTTCCATGAAGAGTTAGTGGACTATGAGACGGGATCTAGTTTGGATATCACAGTTTCATCAGGGTTGTTTTACAAAGCTCAGATGGAAGAGATGCCCTGCTGCTACACTGGTATCTTTAATGCTGGCCTCTCTATCTCTCCCTTCACTCTCTGCCTCTATTTAATTATGCTCTGTGAATTTTGGATTTTCCCTCCAGCATTGAAATGGAACGTGAATTATTAAGGTGTGTTTGTATAAATTATTATTGCTAACTCCAGGCATTTCTCTCTCTCTCTCCCTCTCTGTCTCTCTCTCTCTATCTTTCACTCTCTGACCGACCCTCTCTTTCTATCCATCTCTCGTTCGCTCTCACCCTGCTTCTAGCCTTTGGATTGTGGCCCCTTCTCGCTCTCTCCTCCCTCTCTTCATCTTTCTTGTTTTCAAGCCGCTCCTTCTGTCTTCAAATATAGAGTTGGCATTCATCTTATCTCACTCACGTATTTTTTCCCTCCCTATCATTCATGTTATCATTCCTTTTTTTTTTTTTCATCTCTCTCTCTCTGTCTTGCGTCTCCGCCTGCACTCACTTTCCCATAATGAGACAAAGTTATCGTAAGGGTTCAAATGACAGCCGTAACTCATATCTTCACACAAAGCTGCTCACAGTCGGGTGGGATTTTTTTCATAAAACTATCCTACACGTAGGCTGTAACAGAGATAACTTGGTATTCAGTGTACCAGGAGGATATCAAATCATACATCGGCCTTCGCACAATTAGAAACAGCTCCAATTCAAAACGTACGCCTTGCCATTCAAATGCTGATATCTACCCTGTTCGTCTGACTGAAGGCCTCTGCAGAGATTGGTGTGAGTCTTTAAGAAATAAGATATTCTTTGTGTTCGAGGTAGTAATCTATAAGTTTCCTCTTCCCTGTGGGCTACAGGTCATGAGTACTGCATCATCTCTTTCATTTTCCATATTCTCCTGGTCCACGGCATGTATAAGCTTGTCTCCTCTGAGGATGATATATATGTGTGCTCCTATCTGTCAGGGTCTCTCCAGCTACCTCTCATACCACCTACGCAACGCCTCAAATCTATACCCATCCTCCCTTTTCCGATCCAACAGCATATCTATACAGGTGAATCCTCCTTTCCTCTTTCCCACCTCTTTCCTATTCACACACACCTATCCACTGTCTTCTCCCCCTCCCTCCCTCCTGCCCCACCCATCTCCTTTTCTCTCCCTCTCTCCTGCTCTGTGTGTTTTGCTTCGGCGCAGTAATTTTCCGTTTGATTTCGGAGGTAATGCATTTTTTACAAATCAAAGAGGAAGCCAGGCTGCCCCCCTCCCCATCTCCACCTCCTCCTCCCCTCCCTGCCTCCCTCCCTTCTCCTCCTCCTCTTCTTTCCCTCCCTCCCTTGTCTCCCATCCTCGCCCCCCTCGGCCCCCCAGGCCAGAGAGGAGATAAAGGAGCCCCCATCATTTCCTTGTTAGTTTTGATTTGGGCAGCGCAGGGCTTTCAAGTTCCCCCCATCACCCCCAGAAACATTATAACTAGCAGCCCAGGGAATACTCTTCCTCATACGCACACACTCTTACACACACATGCATGCACAGACTGTCAGATACAGACGCTCACAGATTGTAATGGATTGTACATGCACAGTAAACACACAGTCTCAAGCAGATATGGATGGCACAAATACGCAGGTATTCAGGT